TATCTCCAAGGATCCCAGAAAGCGAACAGGCATGTTAGACATGACATCGTCGAGCCGTCGGTTGCAGAAGGTTTTCACGCACGTGCTTAACCGTTGGAGATAGGTCACGAGCACTAACTTAATGGCCGAAAAAGATGACTCCAACAATTAAAAAGCACCGCTTATAAATATAGAGAACCAGACATCAAAGAAATGACTACACGATCAACACTCCAACAAATAGTATAGAGCCTTGCTTTGTACTGTTTAAGTTTATATTTTAGTTTACTATGCAATTTCATAGGCGACTTTTTCAATTCAAGCACAATAGTTTATATAAAAATTTTGTCTTGCTATTTGCTTTACTATTTGTTTCAATTCCATTCTATATTTTCAATTCTCCAATTTGTTAGCCTTCTCCTAGGACAATAGTTTAATATCTTGATCTCTAAAACATAAAAAGAATCTAGAGGTAGTCTTACACTTTGGTTCAAACGTCTGAATAGGTAAAGTCATAATATTTTGGGCAATTAAGTCTGTGCAAATTTAAACATGCCTGCAATCCAAAATGTGTCAAAACAGGTATCAAATCAGAACTTCACACCAAAAATTCATCTAACCTCATCAACTTGTCCACTACATTGTAGTCACAAGTTCATTAGGACAAATACCGTTGTGACTATGAAATCCCACTCATCTCATAGCCCCTCTTTGATAGCACTACTTAATGCATAAATGAAATGGATTCTATATTATCCATTTATGATACCCAAGATTCACATCACTTAAATATTCAACTCTTCAAGCTAGACTAAAATTTTAAGTAATTAATCACCTGTTTATCACTTAGTGTTGAATATACTAGTGAATCAAGATTTTATAAACTTTTTTTTAAATGACTAATTTGTCTTTAAATATGTTGATCTCATCTATCTTCAACCCCATTATCCACCACCACCACTACTGCCATCCTTTGGATACATTGAAATCACCACTATTGCCACCACCAACCAACTACTATCACCACAGCCACCAAAACCATCACCACGCAACCACCACTACTACCACCATCATCACCTTGCAACCACCACTAGTGCCATCGTCATAACCATCACTACTGTCACTACCCCCACCCCAACATCACAATCACAATCACCACTTTTACCACCATCACTTTCACTTCAAATATCATCACCATACAACTACCACCATTATTATCACTACCATTATCACATAAACACTTTGATTATCAAGTGTCATCTTTTGACGACTACTTCCACCAGCAACCAACTACCATAACCATCGCTATGAATAATAATATCATCACACAACCACCACTAACCAACTACCATCACCACCACCATCAATATCATCGCCACACGACTAGGGGTGTGCATGGGCCGGCCTAAGAAAATAAGTCTTAAAAAATATGCCAAAAACCTGATAGGTCCAATAGTTGGCTCACTTGAGCCCGAGCTCAAACCCAATATCCTTAAAAAAAAGGGCTTGAGTTTGCCCTCAAACCCATTATCCTGCCCGAAGCCTAGCTCAATAGCTCACCAACAAAAACCCGTTAAAACCCGGCCCAAGAGTATGCCCGCCCACCCTTCCTTTGAAAAAAGTAACTTTTAGACCATTAAATTTGAAACTTTAAAATAAGTCTCACAATGTCGGAATTTGAAGTTTTAAAAATTTAGATACTATAAATAATGTATTATTTTCTTTTCCATGTATTAAGCATACAAATTTTAAAAGTTAGAATAATTTAAATAATAAATAAGTGAGTAGGTGTCAACCTAGTTGTGATAGATTATTCATTCTATGGATATAGGTCATCCCTTAATATCAAAAAAAAAATTATTCATTATTTTATTTTTATCCATTTTGACTCTAATTTTGATTTAAAAAAGTATAATTTACACAAATATTAAATTACAAAAATATTTATTATTTTTAAATGAAGTTGTATATATAAAAAAGTCCGCGAGTAGGCCGACCTAGCAAGCCTGCCCAAATGGCCCGATAGGTAAGAGTGTTCAAATTTTCGATTGGCCGCAATTTTCTACCTACCCGACTCTACCCTACCTTACTGAATGGCTAGCCACAAAAATTAAGTAAGAATGCGAAAGAGTTTTTGGTCTTCCGATTAAATCAGGTAGGAATACAGAATACTCATCAATTTCGACAATCCTATCTTACCCAACCCACAAAAAATATATTTAAATTTTTTATATTTTTTTTAGTAATTATAAGGGTATTTGTGTAGTATAATTTATATTATAACATTGTTATTGTTGTGGATGTTTGAGTTGCAAAAATATGGACTTATTTTTTGTGTAGGTTACATGATTTGTGGTAAACTAGTGATCTATTATAGCAGTTATGATTTTAATGTGTTTCATATGATTTAAACTTAAAATAATTGTTATTGTATTTGTATAACAATTATGATGAATTGATATTCATACTTTCTTATGTCTTTATTGTAATTGTTGTTATAGTTGTTTTAGGTTTTTCTGTTATTGATTTATTGTGTTGTTAAATTGGTGTATGTTATCAGGTAGGAATATTACACTTGATCGGGTAGGGAAGGCCAAGGAAAAAAAATTTCGCAAAGTATCGGGTAGGAAAGCGAAAGACTATATATCCTACCCGCAGGGTAAGGTGAACACCCCTACCAATAGACTCGCGGTTGGACTGCGAGTAGCCTACCCTTACCTGAAACTTGATAACTCATTTGGATAAAGACTTGAGCCTACATTACTCAAGTCTGACCCCAAAAAAAATGTTTCGGGCCTAATCCAACCCGACCTATGAAGCACGGATAAGGATACGGGTACGATACGATACGGATACGGTGATACGACAAAGTTTAAAAAAATAGGATACAACTATAATAAAATATATTTATTATTTTCAACCAGCTTAATACTTATATATTTTGGTAGTTCTTTAATATACAATAAGGAAAATTAGTAATTTTTTTTAGTTTCAAGACAATATATATCGTATTGCAGTAGTATATTCACAAAGTGAAGTGACTAATTAAAGGAATCAAAACTAATATTTACCTAGAATTTAGAAGAAATTTTTGCTAAGATAATAATAATATAATAACTTTATTTTATACTTTTTTGACACGTAATTGTAGATAATACTTAAAAAACACTCAAGTGTCTTTGAAGTAATATGAATTTTTTGTTAATATATTGTATGGTATGTGAATTCGAAAAGAGATGTTAAAAGTTCAAATCAAAAATTATATTTGTTGTTCGACCACAAAAGTATCCGTGAAGTATCCTAATATTTAATTATTATCGGATACGTAGAAGGTGTATACAATACGTATTCTCGAGTATCCGACGAATATCGTATCCGATACGGTGTCGAATACGGATACGTTAATCTCAACGAAGTATCTATGCTTCATAGAACCCGACCACCTCAGCTACCACCATCACCCCATAACCACCACCATCATTGCGTCACCATTATCGTTGCTACCACAAGCACGAACAGCCAATCACCGTCACCATGAATAAAATCACCACACAACCACAACGATAACTACGATCATTATCACCTCACCACCACCACCAACTAACCAACTGCCATCACCACGATCACCATTACCATACGGCTATCATAACCACCACTCCATAATCACCATCACCATCACCACCACCACTACCACCTTGTCATTGCCAGCACCCAACCCCATATCATCATCTCTCATTATGATCCTAACACTGTTGTCATCACTCCACCATAACTACGACTATTGCTAGCCCCACCTCATACCATCAGCGCTACAATTACCATGAATATCAACTTTGTTATTAGCATCACTACGATAAGTTTTATTACCACTACTCGTACCACTCCCATCACCTTGGGGTTGGTGTTGGTGGAGGAATGGTGGCAATGGTTGCTGAAGAGCTAATGATATTGAGTGGTGGTGGCAGCAACAATAACGAGGGTGGTGGGGATGAGGCAATGGTGGGGAGGTTGTGGTAGTGAGTGTGTAGTGTTGGTGATAATGATAATAAGTAGAGGGTAATGACACTAGGGTGGGAGAGGAGGATAGAAAAATTAGGAGAAAATTAATTTTTCAAACTTCAGCTTTTCATAATGATCAAATAGTTTTATTCAATTAAGTGGTTAAATTCTATTACATGCCAAACAATTTTTATATTAAAGAATTCAGTATTCGGTGCTTAAAATTCAACCTTCATATTTAAATACTTAATTTTTAAATTTTATCAAAATAGCAACGTAGTCACTACCATATTAGGTAAGACCAAAAAAGGAGAAAAAGGGTTCTAACATGAAAGTTTTAGGTAGCTTGTATGTCCTAAATGTGTTCCAGTTTCATTTCCATTCGAGGCAACTGCCCAGAATTTAGAAAAGTTTTTGAGGTTTAGTTATAATTTTTAAAATCTTAAATTTGTTTGAAAATTGCCCCCGCTGAAATTTTTTATGTTTGAAAATTGCCACTACAAAAAATTTATTTTTTAACTGTTAACCTTATAAGGCGAAATTAGAGTTTACCTTTGATAATCACAACATGAACAAGACTGGTGCAGATCGAATAATCAGTTATATTGACCTCACGATTTTCTATCATGTGTACTTTTCAACGTCAAAATCTGAATGCAGTGTGGGCAGTAATCCTCCAAAGTTTTCTCTCTCTCTCACACACACACACACAAAAAGACGTCTATATATAGGATACAATAAAGACCCTAAAGAGAAATAAGTATATGCACTTGTATAGCAGATTAGGTTATGCATCATGGACATGGGTAATTGCCCGAACCACATAAATCACTTGTGTCTTTGTGTGTTTACCTTACCTATTTATTTTTTGTCACTTGATTGCCTACCTTGATATTCAAATTATGAGCCCATCACAACACAAACTAAAGAAAGATATCTGATTCTAGCAACCTAGAAATCTTGGTACGAATGGGAAACAAAAGGGCAAGTACCTTCAAAAGCTTGTTCATTAATCATAAAATAAAAAAAAAAAAAAACACTTACATGAATTCATACAACTTGGACAATTATAAAATGTTCCCTGTACCTCTAGGTATAAGGTGTACAACTACAAGGACTTAAAGCCAAAAAGAAGCAGAGCCCTTTTTTTTCTCCCCTTCTCTCTTGTTCTTTCATTCAGTATATTTGAACAACAAAATATAAATATGCATCCCAACCCTAGACTTATGTTAGTTTGGCAGGGGTACATTTATCTCTTCAATTCTTCTTTGCATCTTCAGTTACCGTTTTAAAGATTCTCTCTTCCACTGAACCAACCGTTGCAAAAAATCCATGACCTATAGTAACCGTCAAAAAATAGCTCATATGAGTAAAATTATTTTGACATATGAAAAAAAAAAAAAAAAACTACAATGCAAGTATGTGGTAAGGTTCTTGCCTGAGATGGTTCCTCTAAACAATATGAGGCATTGGTATCTTTTGGAATTTTGGAAACTAGAATGCCAAAACCTTGTCCCCTTTCTCTTAGCACCTAATTGCAGTGGAAAAAAAAAATACAGAACTAAATCATGAACTTCAAATATTTACAGAAAGAAACCTTTCTTCCCACTGGAAAAACCAAAGTATTTGAACATTACCTTGAATGCATCTTCGTCTGTTCGATCATCTCCAATATAAACAGGAAATACATCAGTATTATTGGAATACCCTGAAGACGGAGATTAATCACAAAATTCAGTAATCAAATAAATTGTTGAAAATAATGTATTATTATTTTTAATATATTCAATTCAATAAATTAATCAAGTGAGTGGCCCCTTTTCCATGTTTTTTCTAGTTTTAGTGTTTGGATTTGCATATATTCCAACAAACAAACATAAGTCACCGTTTAGTTTATTTATTACTAAACTAAAAATAAATTAAACTCACCAAGTGATTCTACCAAGAATTCAAGAGCCTTCCCTTTGTCCCATTTAATAGTAGGACGGATCTCTAACACCTGTGTATTAATTTCCAAAAACTATTCAAAATGAGATGCCTCTCTCTCTTTCATACCCACTTACAACAACTTTCAACAAAAAAATATAAATTTTTTTTGTAATAAACAACTAAATATGACGTCACACCTTCCTCCCTTGCGTCATCCGAAGCTTTGGGTACTCCTTCAGCACAGATCTTACTTGCTGTGCCAGTTCACTCCATTTCTGTGTATCATAAAGTCAAGACTTTATATCACATACATATGTTCTTAGATTTGTTTATTAGGATACATTAAATTAAATAAACAATTACTTTATAACAATCGTTGGTCCCGGTATAAAAGTAGACAATGAACCATGTATATCATGTAGAGAAGGCAAATGGGTGAATTGGATTGGTTATGAGTTGGGTTAAATTGGATTGAACTAAAATAAATGTAATATATTTTTCCCTCACGTAGTAAATGAGTTATAATGTATTAGGTTTATAATCGGATGGGTTAAACCGATTAATCCATAAAATAATTAAAATATCTAATAGATATTTCTTCCGTTCCTAAATATCTATTGTTTAAGGTTTTTGTACAGGTATTAAGGAAGCTATTAAATAGCTCTAATATAAGTAAAAAATAATTGCACAAGAATAAAATACTCTTATTCAATACATATTGGGAAAAAAAGGAACATGAAATGTACTTAGCCTCTACCTAATCTAATACATTGAAAAGTAAAGGGTAAATATGGAAAAAAAAGTATTAATTATGTTTTGGTTTCATTAAACGACAGCTATTATGAAACAAAAAAAATTATGTAAAACGACAGATATTTAGGAACTGATGGAGTACATTAGTACATCAAAACACACACACATTAGTAGTACACCATACTACAAAATAGACACACACACTAATACACCAAAATATACACAAACTAATACACTAAAAATATACACACTAATAGACCAAAAATACACAAACATATACAAAAACAAAAACACATTTAATTAAAAACAAAATACACACATAATGGGCCGATGTCAATTGTGGGCTATGGGTTGGGTCCGTGGGTCGTGGGTCAATCCATGGGCCATGGGTCGTGAGTCAACCAGTGGGCCATGGGTGACCTGTGATTCATGGGTTGACTCGTGGGTCACGGATGGTGTATTAGTGTGTATTTTTGGTGTATTAGTGTATATTTGTGCATTTCTTGGTATAATAGTGTGTGCATTTTTTGTTATATTAGTATATTTATTTAATTTTACTACTTGTATTATTTAATAAAAAGATAAATACTCAACTCAATAGATATTCATTTATAATTCATATTAATCCGCTTAATTAAAATAAATTATATTACTCATCCCATTTGAAACCCATATTAATTAATATAGCTACTCAACCATTTATTAATAGGTGGGTTGGGCAAATTAATGGGTAATGGGTTAAGATTGTCACCTCTAATATCATGTATGGAAAAAAAATATTAACAATACTAATTAATACACTATCTATTTAATTTTACAACTAGTATGTTAAATTTTAAACTTATAAAAGTGTAACAACAATCAAGATTGATTCAATTTTCATATATTTTGATCCAATGGTATAATATTTATTTTAATTTTTTTTGTTCAAAAAATTATCTCTTATTTTTTTTATATCCACTTTCTTTATAAATTGCATAATTAAAAAATAAAATAAAAATAAATTTATATTTTAAATACAAATATTACACCATGAATACTCAATTTTTAGTATTACAAAGTGTTTTGGACTTTGTTTTAAAGGGGAAAAAGAGAAATCAAGCGTTCAAGTCCCCCTCCTCTTATTTTTTAGTATTACCAATAGGTATTTAGTCTAATGGTACTCCTTATCTTATAAAGATTTTACTTTATTGAGGTCAAGTTTTCAAGTCTCTTTCCTCACTCCCCTCCGCAAAAAAAAAGAGAGAGAGAGAGAGAGTACCAACTCATCGACACAGCGGAAATGTACGGAGACACAAAACTTGTTATTCTCCACCTTAGCACCCGGAGTAGATTTGGTTGTCTCCAACAAAGCTTGGTACACCTAGAAGTTAGATATTTTGGAAAATACTATTTTAGATTTGCAAATGTAAAATATATTTATTTTAATTGACTTTATAAGATGAAGAGTGAAGAATAACCTCATCGATCATGGGAAGGAATTCACTGGCTGGTTGAAAGAGCACAACTTGGCTATCCTGAGAATTATTAACATCAAACATGACAAAAATGTAAGAAAATCACTATTAATAATCATGTGGAGAAACAATTAACTTAATACTCAAGAAAAGACTAAGATGTTGTGACAGTGAAAATACTGCTCACTCACTTTCTCATACTTGGAGCCTTTGGATGGTCCTTTTGTGTCCATGCCATGGCTTCCGGCGTAGTACAACTCTGCTAATCTTACAAAGTTGTATACCTATCATCAAACAACAACAAAACAACAATTATTCCAAGTTGTAAAACAAACTTTTGGTGACAAATATAGGGTATCTAATAGCTCAGAAGAAGCAGAAAATAAGAAAATATATGTACCTTATCTCTGCACCTTCCACTCACTATAGCAGTGGGAAAATATCCTGCAAGTTTTCTCACAGTTTTTCTCATCTGAGAGAGAGAAAAAAGAAATAACACAATACATATAAAAAGTTAAGTCAGATTTTTAAATTTCAATAACATTACTTGAAAAACATATAATTATGGAATAAGATCGAACACCTTTCTATCCATGAAAGCAAGATCAGGGTCCTCGATGATCGGGGAAAGTGTGCCATCGTAGTCGAGAAACATCACAATTTGCTTCCCTTTAGAAGCATTTGTTATTTGCTCAAACTTGTCCAGTGCTGATGGGTGGTTGTCCTGTTTCATCAAATTATTTCACACACTTATCAGTTGTTATGTCTTTACCGAAGCGAAGCTATTAGTGATATGTCATTGTACAATAAAGTATAAACGCTAGAAAACAAACCCCCTCCAAAAAAAAAACGGTGCTTTATACCTGCGCATACACACACACAGAGACACAGGGGATAGCAATTAGCAACTCACCATCCAAGAGCTATGATCTTCAGAAACAGAGAGAAAGGGTGTGGATTTGATATGGGTGGGAGAGGAAGCTTTCATTGAGTCAACCCAAGCGTTGATTCTGGCGGCTCCATTGATTTCAAGGTCTTGGAGCTGCAGGAGCTTTCTCCTTGAAATGGTGATATTCATGTACCCACCCGGCAATGGCACCAACGGCGGCTTCTGTGCCGCCGTCGCAAACAGCGACGAGTTGGACACCGCCAGCGTTATCGCCAAGTTGATACCCGATTTCGTATCAGAAACTACCGCGTTCTGCTTCGTCATTTTTCTTCTTTCTTCAATCAAAAGAGATTATGTAGGTGAACAACAAACAGAGAACTCTGTCCTTAAAACTAGGAAAAACCGAATTAAAAGGCCTCAATTGAGGGTATTGGACTCAATAAGAAAAAACACTGCAACTCGAACGGGTCTCACAGAATTTGTGGAATGTGAGAGAGAGAGAGAGAGAGAGAGTGAGTGAGTGAGAAGTGTGAGAAATGTTGAGGTGGTTAGGTCGCTTTATAGCAGCAACCAGACGCTAACGGCGAAACGACGACCCCTACCAAAAGTCCTGGTTGGACACAAGTTGACACAAATTCTAGGCCCTACACGACCTCCAAGCCAAAACCGCATATTCCAGTAGGATAATTCTGTGTACTAAATTTGTGCCCTAAATGTGTGTATTAAATTATTGTTAACCGTTAGATGATAGTGACTCTTATTGATCCAACGGTTAGTAATGATTTAATGTATATTTTTAGTGTATAAATTTGGTGTGCATAACATTACTCATTCAAGTAAATATTAACTTTAACAATTACATGACGTCTCGTGCATATATATATATATAAATGGAGTTCACTTACTCACTTATTTCTTTGTCATTATATAATTATGTTAATCTAACCGTTATAACTAATATTGATTCCACGCATTCAATGAAAATGGTGGAAAAAATTTAATTGCAATGGTAATACTAGTTAATATTGTCATGTTATATCACTAATTAATAATATATAGACAAATAAGTAAATAGGCAACACATAAATTAATAATTATATGTTAATGTAAGATAATAAATATCCACTCTCCATCTATATTATATAATAATTATTCAAGTGAGGATCACTTTATTCATTTGGTATTTTATTATTAATTAGTGATATATTTCACAATACTAACAAGACATTACCGTTGCGTTAAATATTTATTCTAACAGTGATATCATGTCAGCATTGACACATAATATCATCAACCAATAATAAAACAATAAATTGATAAGGTATACCCTATTTTGATAATTATTTGATGAATAATGCTAGATGAACTTAAAAAATAGACTTAAAATTTAGACTTGATAATCTCAACCATTGAGTAGGTAGTAGATTCCAATAAATACTGGGACCTACAGTGAAATTAATTATTGTAATTATCAAGTCTGATTTTTAATTCTATTTTTTAAGTTCATATAACATTGCTCTTATTTGATTCCATGAAAAGAGAGTGATTAGTTATTAGTTAAAATAAAGGTGCAATAATTAGTTTATGTGGGGTCTATTTTTTTATTTGTCTATATATTATTAGTTGATAATTTAATTTAATAATGTTAATATGATATCAACATTATATTAAATATTTTCTTATAAAGAAGATTCCCACTCCACGACGCGGAAGAAATCACTTGGCCAACTCATCTGACGTGGACTTACAGCACGTGGGGTGAGCACGGCTGCTAAGAGGGGTTTGGTTTTTTTTTTTTTTTTTTTCTGTGTTACGGGGTTTAGTGTTTAGTTTCCTCAAAGGGAACTACCCCCAGTTTTCGGATCTGGAACCCACAAAAATGGGTGGCCATTTATTAAGAGTTCTTAAAAGTTCATAGCCCCCTCTTCTGTCCTTTTTTAATTGAGTAATGTTCCATTAATTAAATTTTAAAATTAAATTTAAAGTTCAAATGACATGACAACATATTATTTAGAGTTTTTATTGGGACCCAAATGACATGACACCAAATAAAAAAATCCAAGTCAGCTCCTATGTCATTTGGGCTCTAAATTTGATCCCAAAATTTGGTCACTGTAACATTACTGTTTTTAATTAATCATGATTCAGTTCACTACTATCATTTAACACCTAATATTAGGTAGTAATGAACACCATGCAATAAGTATTATTATTTTTAGCAAGTTAAGTATCAAAAATACAAAAACTTTATTATTCTTAAAAATTTAGAGTCACATCTTCATATAAAAGTTATACATTAAGTAAATTCTTACCCTCAATATTTGTTTTGTCATTTTTAATTTAATACCATACACTATGTCTTAATCTAAACATAAATTTGATTATAATTATAGATTTATATATTATCTCAACGCTGATCCAAACTTGTTATATAAGGATAAGATTAAATAGTACTCTTATTAACACAATTTTATGAATTAGATGGAAATTAATTAGCCAATTCCATTTTTTATTTGTACCTGAATAGAAAATGCCCTTAAAGCGTTAATGCTATAAAAATATTTTATATACAAATAATCAAGCAATCACTTATCCATACTCATTTGATTATGCAACCAAATTTGTATAAATTTTATAGCTTAAAATTTATAAAATGAGTCTATGTAAACAACTTATCTAAATATACCCATAACGTGTTTGAAATATGTGTGAAAAGCTCTTAGTCATTTACCTATAGGCCATACTAATTGATTGGACAAGAAAATGTAGGGTGGGCAAATATAGATATATCTAAAAATTAATTGACATATACATAGATAATGATGATGTGTATAATGCAATTGAGCAGAACCGGGTATCTAATGTGCACCGAAGAATTCAGTCTGAGCTTCAAGGCTCTTGGGAACAAGAATCTAGGGGAATGGAGTCAGTTACACAGAAGAATTATAATGGTTTGTCAGTTCGAGAGTACAGCTAATCCATTATTCAATAAAGTCACTTGCTCCTGAGGAATATATTGACAAAAAGGGAAGCCATACAGTAGCTTGATAAGTTCCTATCGCTTGCCCCATAGTGAGGGCTTTGTAAAGCATTTATTGGAAATTCTCATCTTAGCTGAATCTAGAGCGTGATATTCCCCCCCCCCCCCTCATGTAACGTTTTGCATGATTTGCATAGAGGTTATGCGGAGTGATGGAGGAATTGCGAATTTAGTGCTTGGACTGGTGCCTGTTTCCAATGGGAAAAAGCTTGGTGATCGCCAACTGTCTTCCACTCTGTTTCCCCTTAGGTGAGGATTAAGGGAGGTCGAAGTCTAGACTTCAAACTCGAGGTTTTTGTGTTACTGGGGGGCTAAAAATGGTTTGTTTGAGTAGGGACTGGGCTATGGCTGGGTTAAGTGGGGTTGACCTTGATTTATGCGTGATGGGACTCCGTTCAGACAACTATGGTGAACATGTAATCATTATGTTCTCGTTTCACACGCATGTTCCATATCTCGAGGGTCCATGTATGCCTGGGCTTTAGATGCGCTTGCAGATGAAAAACCGCTTTCCTTGCCTTTCGAATTCCCTATACAAACCCTGTTTTCCTTCTTCTTCCCTTGCGATTTTATCTTCCCCCAACTTGCTAGAGATCTAGGGCTCTGCTTAGAAAACTCCCAATTCATCTTGAGAATTATGTGAGGCTTGCTTTGTCAACTCCCTGAATTCGTTATGGGGTTCGGGTTATCGCTCGTTCTTTGTTAGGTACGCTTCTTTGCTTTGTTTATCTCTTCATTTTGGATCCCTCGAATCCAAGGTGGTTGTTACATTTTTGGTCCTTTCGCTTTTGTTACTTTAAGAATTGAGGTTATTCCTTGTCTTTTCTTCCCATCTTTGAGGATTCTTATTCAACCGCTAGAATCCTCCTTATTAGTCATCGGTGTCTTGACCCTTTGGCCCTCAGGGATTATTTTGCAAACATTCCTTTTCCTTATTTATCATTTTACCTCCTTTTTTCCAATCCTGTCATGTCTGGCTCTTCCAAAGTTACTGTTTCATCCGTTTCTCTTGCCATGGGCGAGAGGTCTTCTGAATAAGAGGAAGTTGATTTAGGTGAGGTAGACAATGCAATAGATAATTTTCTCGGTGTTGATCTTATTGATGCTGAGGAAAAGGCCGAGGACCTCCCTTTATCATCTTCTCTTGTATTGAGGTCCAGAAAGTCTAGGAATGGGAAAACTAAAGTGTGTGATGTTTGCTTGATATTTTTCGTTGTTTTTCCTAACCTCTAAACATCATCCCTCAATGTGTCTATGACTTATGTGTATAAGAGAGTGTCACTCTCCCTCGGAATGATGCAAAAGATGGGGCAACGGAATGGTGGATGGAATGGAATGAAATGAACAAAATATGTATGTGGAATGAAATGCATATGTGAACAAAGGTGCTCCCCAAGCGCAAGGAGACTTTTGTGTGTCGTTGTTTTACTTGGAAAAGTATTCCAAGGTCATTTCCTCAAGGAAGGAAAGTTCAAGTGTGTGACAGTGATTTTGTGAACAAAAGAAAAAGTGTAAAATCTTGTAGTTGGTTTTGGTGAGTTTTGTTCTTAATAAAAATGCAAGAAAACAAGTGTTGGCTAATCCAAAGAGGTCATTCCAATGGGAATCCCAACTCAACTCAAAACCTTCCTCCAATGGTGCATAGATGAACGGTTGATTCGAGGGAAGATAGGGACAAGATGGTGAGGATCCAAGCATAAATCGTAACCAAGCCTACGGAATATCAAAGACTCACAACCACATCCACTCTCAACCCAGTCAAACCGAACCATTGTACACCGAGAGGAGGAAAGAAAATGAGTTGAAATGACATGACCAAGAGGAGGTCTCCCTTGGATTAGCCAACTTAAAATCTAGCTACTCATGAAAGCAAGAAGGAAATGCATAATGTAAAGAGACATAATATTGAAATGAAGATTAGAACCCAACTTAATGCAAGAAAACTTAAACAACGAAGAAAATATGCAATACCCATTTTAAGAAAAACTTGAAGTGAAAAAAACTCATACAATAGTGATAGATTCTAAGTTACACAACTAAACTTGCAATGAACTTGAAATAGCTAAGATTAAAGTGCAAGAAATAAAGATTACAAGATATTTAAAGCTTACTACAACTGAAATGGAAAGGAAAATACAAAAACATAAATTCCTATTACACTATTCGTCTTCTTCTTCCTTGGATTTTCTAAGCTTAGGCAGCCACACCTTTGAAATGCTTGTGGAATGCTGAATATATGGAGTGTGAGCCTTGCATTTTCATCCATGGTGGTCCTTAGCATGTGTGTGTAGGCCTCCCATCAATGGGAGGTGATTTTGATGGCTTTTGACAGGCTAGGAAGACCTTAGACTGCAACTCCCCTGGCAGCTCTCTTCTCTCTTATCCTCATTAATGCCATTGTCTTCAAAGTCTTTAACTAGGGTGTAGAAGGTATGAAAATGTGTAAGGGAAGTCAGGGGACAAGTGGGAGAATCA